TTAGAATATCCGGGCATAAAGAATGGTTTGGGAACTCGGGAATCGGGAATATATGAAACGAGTTCGAGTTTCCTGCAAATATGGCTCCCTGGCAACGGTCACGGACCCCCCGAGTTTCATCCATGAGCAAAGTGCAACCCTAACCTTCCTAGCTAACAAAGTGAAAAATACCTAATAATAATACAAGGAAATGCTATCTACGTTCAATACAGTTGGTTCGATATTCGAATTTCCATGTGTTAGAGAGCCGTGATTTTCAACTAGCCCTTTTCACAGCAATATCATGAATACAATCTAGTTTACTTATTTTTATTTTATATTTGATTTTTATGTAAATAAGCAAGTCTATGTCTCACTGATCTAACGCACGTATAGTTTCAACTTGTTTATTTTTGGACATATGGATATTATCATATCAGTTTCATTTTTGTCACGTTAAGATTTTTTAATTGCTATGTCAGTTTTTTTATATGTCATCAAAGTTTACTTAATAATATTTAATTTCACATTAACTTATATTTTAATTATTCATGAATTTAGAAATTTAAAAATTTATATATTCTTAAACTCAATTAATTATAGATAAATGTACTTTATTTTTTGTGTCATTTAAAAGTTTAAATTTAAATTCATATTTACTATTAATTAATTATGAATCAAATTCAAAATAAATAAATTTAATTATTTATAAATTTAATCATTCATTAATTTATGATATTTATAAATTTAATTAATTAAAAATAAATATACTTAACTTTAATACAATTTAAATTAAATATATTTATTAAATAATATAAGTATATAAAAATCAAATCATGCTAATCATTATTTACATCACTCAACAACACAAATTACATTGCCTATAAATTATTCCCTACAGAAACCCTAAAGAATAAAAGTAAACTATAACCGGCAGCAATGGATGTGACACTATTTTTTCTTTTCGTTAGTTTCATTACTTTTTTTCTTTCACTCACCTACTAAATGCGTCAAAATCTAATTTCTTCCCTGTCGAAAAATCAATGAATTTGTTAGAGAAAACAGAAAATACTTGCCCGACAAGAAAAAGGAAATAAAAATAAAAATGAACGACACGTGATGCGATGACAATGACGGTTCGATCGTTAAGAAAATGGTGGGACCGAGTCCATACCTACGGACGGTTAAGATCTAATCTCGAAATTGTACGCACATCAGGTGCTATTTATTATCCCTCCCTCAGACTCGGTTATTTTAGGGTTAGGGTTCCGTCTCATTCGTGATCTAACCAACTTCTGCAATTCTCATGGCTTCCGTTCCACCTCTCCCCATGGAGGAGCAACCACCAACTACGGAGGAGCGACCATCAAGTGAGAAGAAACAGGAACAAGAACACGATTATTTTCTGTCTCATTTTGACGAAGATACCGATGAGGAAGAAAGCAGCGAATCCGGTACTTGCGAAGGCGAGGAATTTCGTGAGATGACGGATGCGGAGCAAAAAGCCTTTTTAGCTGCTTTCAAAGAGAGTGGTGTAAGCCTATTTCTGCAAAATTTAAGTTTCATATACATATATTCTATATTTATTAAGTTTACCTTGTAGGGATTTGATGTTCCTTCTTTTCCTGAGGTTTATTACAACGACCTAATTACGCCCATGAATATGAGTAAAGGTGGGCCAGAATATCTCTTCCGTTATTCCGTGGCAGGGATCGGCCAATATAATGAAGAACATGTTAGTTTGGTTTTTTTTTTTTTTCTTGTTTTCTTTATCTTTTTTCCGGTGATATAATTTTGACCGATATTGTTAATGTTTTCAGGGAACCAACTATGAGGTAGTCCGAGTGGAAAAGTGCATGCAACAGGCTGCTCGCGGTATTAAGTACTACATAACCTTCCTTGCCAAGAATAAGATTGCTTCAGAGCATGGCAGTGATACTCCTAAAGCTGCTGATGATGGTAGCGACAAAACTGAAATCTTTGAGGCTTTGGTCTTGTTCGGTATTCCAAAGGACAAAGAGGATGAACCAATCGATGTGATCTTTTGTAGGCTAAAGGGTACCAGGCCAGGTACTAATGTTTTTCATTAATGCAATTACTTTTAAAAAAAAATACAAATCCGTACTTGGTTATTGATGAATTGTCGATTTTATGTTCTACTTGAATATCCGATTGTTAGCATACATTACACTGGTTTAAGGGATATGTTTGGTCATCCTTATCTACAAGGAATACTCCGTAAATTTAAACCCAGTTGTGCACTTCATCTGTTTTGTGATGAACAAATATATCATTTGCATTTACTGGCTTAATTATAGATATGTCGTGAATAGCAACTACTTACTATGATGAAGGATTTGTGAACTTTTTAACGAATGACTTAATTATGATTGCCATATACAGTGTGTTTTCATGTTGGGGAGTTTGTTGGTCTGCAGTTGAGAATTGCTTGTGTGTTGTTTGATATTTTGCATGACTGTAATGTTTTGTTTATTGGGTTACCTTTACTTAAGGTTTTGGATATCTAGTTATCTAGGGTAAGTGCTGGCTTTTGATGAGCTTAATGAATGACTACCCATTTTTAGCTAGAGGTTTTACCGCTGTAGAGTAGTAGTAATATAAAGGCAAGGTTTAGGACTTCTTTATGATCTTGGTGGAACGACAGAGACTAACCCTATATTTAGTTTTAGATAAGGAAGTAAAATGCAAGTTCAGGTGAGTGTGTTCTATTGGTCAGAAAATTTTTTATTTAAGGGCACTGCCCATGTTCACATATATATACAATTACAATTAATTTAATTTATTGGTTGTGTTGTTGTAGATCTTTGAAAATTTTATGGAGGCGTTCAGCTAGTGGGTGAGAGGAGCACCGGAAGTTGAGCATGTTATCTTGTTAATGTTTCTTAGTTTATAATTTGAACCTTTATCTAGAATGTTTATGTGTTAAGCTATCTAAACTCATCCGAAGCTTTCGCTTACCGACTACAGTACTGTTGATTATATAACTTTGTGCTGCTTCTATGTTTAATGATTTAGCTATGAAAACCACATTATCCTAATTTCTTATACTCAGCTTTAGGTGAGTTAGGGAACTTTTATTCTGCTGTCACAGTGTTCATGGCCCATTTTCGCCCCAAAAGCTCTCGACGAGCTGTATATGAAATTAACATCTATATATCTAGTAGAATGAAATTTACGTCTGTATTATATCTAGTTATCTGTACAATGGATCATATAAGTGAGAGAACCGTTTTTCTACTGAGTCAGCGCCAGCACCATTGGTTTATACAAGACTTAAAGCTTTTTTCTGGTTTAAGCATCTTCTGCATGAATTGCTGTTCTGTTTCCTGGACCATAAAATGTCCTTTGGCTGGGCCTGGGATGATCAAGTTGAACCTCCTTTGAGCCTAGGCCTAGAAGATTTAGCGCAAATCAGCCTATAAAATGTATAAATCAGACAAAAAAAAATCATTTAGTCTCCAATTCAGTGAGAATATATAAAAGTAAACAAATAAAATCAAGCGTAACTAAGTTGTTTGAAGTTTGAAATCGGTTCTCATTGTCATGGATTTGATTCTTCACCAACATTTAAAGATTTTGCATGTACTGTCTGATTTAGTTTCTGTTGGTTAATTAAGTTTGATTGATAATGCAAAATCTTAGGGGAGGAGAATGCCACGTGTGCATTCAAGAAATCAGGACACACCATATATTCAAAACCCAATCCAAATTTCAAGCGAAAATTACAAATGCTGGCAATTACTGTTATTCATGCACACTGGATCCATTTGCCAAATATTTTATCTGGAATTTGCCCTGTTAAAACCACTCATGTGAAATGTGGTTGTCTGTTGATCCTTACAGTTGGGCATTGGCATTGTCAAGTCCACGCATCAATCACTTGGATAAAAGTAAATTTTAGCCTTAAAAGCTCAACCACACATTAACATAAAAAATTTAATTAACAATGTAAATTGGTTCGGTTTGATTTCTGATTTGGTTTCTTATTTAATAATGTAAATTAAAACATGAAAAAAAATCACTCCCTAAACTTTAATTAAAGAATGAATCTCACCCATTTAACCTGATAAATTATGGGTTGAGACAGCAAAAAATCAAGTATGAATAAATAAAAATGACTATGAAATTGAACCAATACACAAAATGAGGCATAAAAGAAAAAAAAAAACATATATATACACACAACAAAAAGATATACAAAATGAAAAATCTTAGAAAATAAAATATATATATATATAGATACACAACAAAAATATATACAAAATGAAAAATCTTAAGGAATGAGCTGTCACGTGTTGATTTTTGAGAAAAAATTGGTAGAGTTAGAGTTTTAGCATATAATTAACTTTTCAAATGAAATCTTAAAATGAAGAGACTTATATATTTTTAAAATATAAACTTATATAGAAAAAAAAACTTGTACAAATAAAATAATTAAATATTTACATAATATAAATATAACTATCATTAATTTTGTAGTTTTCAAAAATAAATCAATCCAAATAAAGTTAATCAATTTTTATTGCAATTCAAGAATTAAAAAAAAATTAAAAGTGTTAAAATTTAAATATAAATTATTATTTTTTAAAAATAATTATATAAAATAAGTAAAATAAACTTCCGGTTCATCAATCTTTGATTTTAACCAAATAATGTTAAACTAATTAAAAAAAGTGAAACATCATAGTTATTTTCCTATGATAGAAAAGGGTGAAGATTAACAAAAATGACCAAAAAAAGTTTGGCATCAATTTGGTCATGGAATGTGACAGATCATATAATCCTACATATATATTATTTTTAATTTTATGAATCAACATTTTTATGTGGTGGTGGTTATAAAAAATGCGAGGAAATTGAAAAAGAAAAAACAAACTTGACCGACAAGAAGTCCAAACAAAATCTTTTGTGGACACACATTTGTGATTGTGACTCATTGCCATATGGCCTTTTGCTTTGTACTTTGATTATTATTCAAATTTTCAAATTGTAATTTCTGTATAGTATCTTATGCTGCATCATGATTAACATACACATGATTATTATTGATAAAGACGCCATGATTAAATCAATTTGAGTCAGATGAACGGCAAAGCAACCCCCCAAATTGTAACTTCGAAGGCCATGTATCCATGTCAAAAAATAGTAAGCAATAGAAAAATCAAGAAATGGACCCACAAAAAGAGCATCCAATGAAGGACGTACACATCACTACGGCGCCAATCAGTATGGCCATCAATCCCCATGCTCCCTAATTATTAAAAAAAAAGTTCCCCGACAACCGAGCCCATTTTGTTACATCCGCTTCTTCCGCAGGTACTTAACGGTGTCGTTTTAAGAGCTTTCGCATTTTAGGACAAAACTTGTCCGAGGGTTAAGATTTGACCAGAGTCAGGGATTAAATGAAGCAAATCCATTGGTTTCCCAAAAAGCGTCGGGGGAGCTTCACCGCTGGTTAGAAAAACAAAAAACAGAGCGAGAGCGAGTGAGGGAGCGCTTTCGAAGAGAGAAACAATCGCTTGATTTATAAGCCATCAAAGCCCGAGGCTTATATTTCTCTAATTAAGAAGAAGAAGGAAGAAACAAGAAAGAGAAAAGCTGTTATTGTTCTGAAAAAAAAAAAAAAAGACTTTTCTTTCTTTGTTTGAAGATAACAGAGAAAGAGCCACAGCCATGGCTGAGTCAAACGATTCCATTCCTCTTGATACAGAAAAGATTTATCTTGGTGGAAAGGTCCTTCCCCATTTTTTCTTAACATTTTCATTTTGCATTATTTTTCAATCCTCTTTTTCATTTTTGGTTTTCATATTATTATTGTTCTGCATTTTGATTGCTGAATTGGGTTTTTAGTTTTATAGGAACAGAACCCATTTTTCGTTTTGTTTTGAAAATGAGGGGATATTGGGTTGATTCGGAATTCAATTGAATTTATTGAAATGGGTATCCCTCGATCTATGAATTCCTTATTTGCTCAAGTTTGCATTTTTTTTTTATGTAATATATGTTATTTTATTTTACATATTCGGTAAGCTGGGTAGACTTTCCATATCTGGTTTCAACTTTCCTTTTCCCTTTATTTTGTACATATAAAGCAATCGTTTCTTCGTTTTTTCTCAACCTTCTTTGTCTTTTTATCTCTATTATGGTAAATGGGGCATCCTATTTTGCATCAAATTTGTGCTTTTAAAGTGTTAAAATGTGCTGTAATAGTTCTGGTTTCAGAATTACAAAGTTATATTTGGCGTTATTTACAGCTCTATGTGGAATGGGTATTTGATTGTTTTGCCGATCTTGTGTAATTCTCTAATGTTATTTGTTGTTGCTACTGCCGTTGGATTTATCTGCTTTCACTTTTCATTTTTTATCGGTTGGAGATTCTTTCCTTCTTGGTTTGTTCCTTCTAATGGCAAAAGAAGTTGGATAATGGATTGTTCCAACTATTCATTCCTCGGGATTATTCAACGTGTCTTTGCAGTTCTTTGAAGAAACCTTGGCTCTACCTTTTTCCTTGTTTCACTTTTATTTTATTATATTAAACTTGTCTAGCTGTAAGTTTACAATTTTTTCTTTACATCAACCTAATGTCAATGTCTTCTTTTAATATGAGAGATTCCATGCTCCCCTTTTAGACTGTCTTCTCATTTGAAGAATGCAATGATTGATATCAAGAAATACTCATTTGATTTATCTTTTTTTTTTTTTCTTTTGCAAAGTTATGTTAAGTTGGATTTCGCTAAAAGGGGTGAGTGCACATGGGAAGTGCTTTTGATGAATACTAATTTTATTTAGAATATTTAGGTGTTTCTTTTCTTTTTTTCCTTTTTTTAAGGGTCACATCAAACAAATGATTTATCTTACATAACTGAAAGCTGTTCTCATTGAAAAACTTCTTACATAGTTAGAAAACATTATGGTACTTAAAGTTTCAAATGCATCTATTCTATGATTGCTTGGAATGCTTAACTCTTTCCATGTTGATTGGTATGCATCTTATATCTGTTTATAATCTGTGCTCCTGTAAACATCTTTTAGGAACATCATGTACGAACGTGCTGTGGTTCTGTGTCTGTTATAGTTTATGGGGACCAAGACAAGCCAGCACTAATTACATATCCTGATTTGGCTTTGAATCGTAAGTATAATGCTGTTAGATGCCATAGCCTCTTTCTTTTCTTCCTCAGTTATATAAAATTGTATTTGTTATACTAAATTCAGAGAGTATTCTCCTTTTGCCAGTCCTGAAATATACGTGCTATTTTATTCATGGTTTTTGTTGTTAACTGAATCAATGTGTCTATTCTTGCACATTTACATGTGGGAAAAATTTGTTAGGAAGCATTTGTTTCTCTTAGTTGGCGTATATCTCCAAATAAGCTTTCTAGCATTTGCATTGTTCCTTACTTCTGTAATTTTCTTCAGATGTGTCTTGTTTCCAAGGATTGTTCTTTTGTCCAGAAGCGACCTCCTTACTGCTCCACAACTTCTGCATTTACCATATTAGTCCTCCTGGGCATGAGGTCTGTAAATTGGTTGGCATATGTCTATTTGCTTTATTTCTGTTGTATATGGACTATTTTATCTCCTGGTAACATACTGAATCAATTATTGGATTCTATTATTCACATCGTTCCATGTCTGGCTTTTTCACAAGAGTTGTTGCAGTTAGGAGCTGCTCCAATTTGTGCAAGTGCTTCTGCACATTGTGTTGATGACTTAGCTGATCAGATCCTTGAGATTCTCAACTTTTTTGGGTAATCTTATTGCTAATACATTTTTAGACTATTTTTACGAGACTCTTTCTTAGCTGATGCTACCAACTGACTTTAAGGGGTTTCTTTTCCCGTTAAGAGCAGCAGATGTCTTTGTTAACAATTTCATAGTTGATATTCTGTGTTAACTTTGTTTCTGATGCCATCAGGCTTGGTGCAGTGATGTGCATGGGAGTGACGGCGGGTGCTTACATTCTTACTCTATTTGCTGTAGGTTTCCTAATGAATCCTTTGAGTAGTATTGTTTAAATGTTTTGATGTTAGTTCATTCACAAAGCTTTTGCATTGCAGATGAAATACAGAGAACGTGTTCTTGGTTTGATACTTATATCCCCCATTTGCAGAGCACCCACTTGGACTGAATGGTTTTATAACAAGGTTCCTTCCTAAGATTGTTGGTTAACAAACATCCTTTGTGCATAAATTTCTAACATATAACTAAAATGACTCTAAATGTGTAGGTGATGTCAAATTTGTTATATTTTTATGGAATGTGTGGACTGCTTAAAGAGTTTTTGCTTCAACGTTACTTTAGCAAGGTACCTAGTATTTCCATCCTATTAATCTATCTTTTAAGTTTCTTTTTGTTATATCCTCACTTATTGTGTAGGAATGATGAGATGTCTATAAATTGTAACAGGAAGTTCGTGGTAATGCAGAAGTTCCTGAGTCGGATATAGTTCAAGCATGCAGACAAGTTAATTCTTTTTCTTATTTCTTTTAGTTTTTTCTTCTTTCCTTTATGCTGGATTTGGATTCTCTTTCTGTTGCTTTTTCACCCCCTTTTAAACATTGAATTTTTGAAAGCTGACATGACTTATTCCTATGGCATGTTTGTTTTCTTAGTTGCTGGATGAGAGGCATGGATCCAATGTGATGCAATTTCTTCAAGCAATTAATAGGTACAACACAAAATATTGTGACTACTTTGGTATTGTAACTTCTTGTTTTTGCATATTACTTCTCTTTATTACATTAAATAAGGAATTTTCCAGTGCTCAAAAATTTGTTTCACCATCCTGCAGGAGACCTGATCTTACCAGTGGGCTGAAGAGGCTCAGATGTCGAACCTTAATATTTGTTGGGGATAACTCACCTTTTCATTCTGAGGCCCTCCACATGACATCTAAGTTGGACAGAAGATTTAGTGCCTTGGTTGAGGTAAATAGTACATAGTTTTGGGAATTACCTATTTTATGTGACAGGGATTACGGTGTTTGATTTGGTAATACGATGTTGAATGATACTTAACTATTCTACAAAGTCTATGTTATCTACATTATTAGTTACTCCTTTTTGACCGGGTCAATGTTGCAAAATAATTTGCAAGTATCTTCTGGTCTCTCTCATCTACTCTCAAAAAACCATTAGACGTGGGCCAGCCAGCCTGTTGGATGATAAGAAAGATTCCCATACTCCTTTGGGGCTGTGGGGCATAATTTTATTAATAGCCTTTTTGTACTAATATTGGTAAACTGCTCTGTTTATTGCTGTTTTCAGTGATTACTGTTTTGTATGCTTAAATAAGAGTGCCAAATCATGCGTAATGGGGGGAGGATGCATTGTTACTGCAGGTCCAGGCTTGTGGATCAATGGTGACAGAAGAACAGCCACATGCAATGTTGATACCTATGGAATACTTCTTCATGGGATATGGGTTGTATAGGCCATGCCAGTTGAGTGACAGCCCGAGGAGCCCGTTAAGTCCATCTTGCATCTCACCGGAGCTTCTCTCTCCGGAAAGCATGGGTTTGAAGCTAAAACCTATAAAGACCCGTGTTTCTCTTGAAGTTTGATAGGAGGGGTTGAGAAAGATTGGATTTATTTTGTTAATTTTTTTTATAAAATTTTTTGGTTCTTTTTGCCCTTCGGAAAATGAAAATATATAAGAAGGGTAGAAGCAGATGGGTAGGAGGGGGGCTGTAGATACAAAGGAAGAAAATGAAGTATAGGGAGGGTTTTAACATGCCTTCATTCTTTTGTAGTCAGTCATAAAGGTGTCATTTAACTGTGTATGTATATTTTAAAAGGGAGTGGGATTTATCTATGATGATGACGAAAAACCAATAATGGAGATGAACTCCCCTTGATTATTGCCACTTGTTTCCTTTGTTTCAGGCTTTCTCTCTCCTGTCAATTTTATGGTCATGATTCTGTTATGTAAATGAATATCTATATCTATATGTATATATATATTATTTTGGGTTGGGGGAGAAGGGTTTGGTAGCGCTGTCATAAGGGGATTGATGGGATGAACCAATTCCATGAGTTGAAGGTGGCCAATACCTTATTATGGAGTGTTGACTTCAAGCGAGTGACCTCAGCATGGGAATCTCCAGGTTCGTCAAAGTACAAAATTGTGCTGAGGGGTTGGGTTTGATTGATGCATGGAGGAGGAAGATGGAAGCTATAACTTCAACTTTTAATCGGCTATATAGTCTCATCTATTTTCTCTGACTTGAACAATTTTCAATTATTCAAACAACAAAAATAGATGCGGCGTGCAGGAGCCAACTTTGAATGGTTTGAGTATTCAATTGTATTACTACAAGTCCACAACAAAAACTTTTGTTTGGATGCAGAGTTTGGGATAAAATTCATAAAATCATAATATTTTTAACAAACGAGGAAAAACTGTATTTTATTTTTATTACCTCATAAATCTTTTGATTGTCAATTTCAGCTGCTTTATTGATCGTAGAAAAAACAAAATGGCAATAAAAAAGAACAAAACCAGGAGAACGGGCCAACACGACACGAGACTCAATTATTCATTCCACGCTCACCACTGCCCATTGGCCACCAGAGCAAACTTTTTCTGACAAGTTGGAATCAATGAGAAACCCAAAAAAAGAAATCCTCACGGTCAAGATTACAAGATTCTTGATCAACAAAAGGCTATAAAGCCAGTACCATTCCAGCATGAGATCGAGCTGAAAGCAGGTCCACCAAACTCGTGAGCCAATTAGCTTCCCTTCACTTGCACAACGGGTATCTACCAAGGAGCCAAGGTGTGTACTCCTCCAAGGCTCCGACTTGTCAGTTGTCCAAAACATATAAAAAAACACAGTTTTCGGAACCAATACTGACCCCAGCTCTCCTCCTCTCTTTCCCTTCCTTACTATACTGTTCTTTAATAACTAATAATCTTTTTACAAGAAATATATCTCTTTTTCTCTCCATCTGGGGCTTCGAGCCGTAGTTGAAATGACAAAGAAGGTAGAAGAAAGAGAGATGGGCATGTTCTTTGATGGGATCATAGAATCCATGCCTTTGTTTGCAAAGGAGTTAGTTGCTGGAGGTGTTGCTGGGGGCCTTGCAAAGACCGTTGTTGCCCCACTTGAGCGTGTCAAGATTTTGTTTCAGGTAAAGTTGGGCTTTTCTTTTTCGGTGTTTGACACTTTTATTTGATTTCTTGGTTCTTTCTTCTTTTTCTTCTATTTCTTTACTCTTTGACATGGTTGTATTTGTTGGATTCTTGGGTTCTTATTTGCTATGATATCGTTATTTGATTTTTTCTAATGGGTTTGCATCCATAGTTGAGTTTCGTGCTTAAACTTGACTTGTTTTTACCATAGCTGAACTTAGAATGACTTATCTGTTAATGCAATGAAGTTCTGTTGGTGAAGATTTTATGGGTTTTGGGATTGTTTATTTTTTCGCCAAAGATGAGGTCTTTCTAATAGTCTTGAACATCAATGCCTAATTACAATTAGGAGATCTTTCCCATTATTTTGGAATAACAAAATGATATCGTCATTGTAAACAAATAGTTTATTAATGAAAGAATTTAGCTTTCAGTATTGTGCCGCCAGCTGCCAGGGACCTGCAACGTTTGAAGATTCATCATGCATTAGCAGAAGGAACTACTAATTCATTATTCTGTTTCAGACTAGAAGAGCAGAATTTCACAGCGTAGGCCTCTTTGGATCCTTTAAAAAGATTGCAAAGACAGAAGGCATCATGGGTTTCTACAGGTAGATGTCCTATTATTATCCTTTATGTTAAGGTTGTTCTGAAAGTTATCTTCCGTTGCTTACTTTGTTTATGGGATATCTATAGAGGAAATGGTGCTAGTGTTGCTCGAATTGTTCCCTATGCAGCACTTCATTATATGGCTTATGAACAGTACCGTCGATGGATCATCAAAGGTTTTCCTGACATTGGTAGAGGCCCTGTACTTGATCTTGTGGCTGGATCATTTGCTGGAGGAACTGCTGTGCTTTTTACTTATCCTCTTGATTTGGTTCGGACTAAATTAGCTTATCAGGTAAATAGTTGAATGTAAATCTGGAGGTGTTGAGGAGGTGCAGGGAAATTTGGTGGAGTGCTGGGGCAGTCAGCATTGACACTCGCTGGGTTTGGCTCCTTTCCTTTGAGCTACATCTTCTGAGCTCTTTATGTTTCTCCAACCAAGTTGTATTCGCTAGTGCAGGTTGTTGGTCCAACAAAGATTCATGTGAAAGGGGTAGTTAATACAGAACAAATTTATAGAGGAATTCTTGATTGCTTTTCAAAGACTTACAAAGGGTCAGGGCTCAGAGGTCTTTATCGTGGTGTGGGTATGAATTCAAAACTAATCATGCTGCTGTTAACTTTTGTTTTGGCGGTTTCATTCTTGTGGGGTTTTCCTATTAATATCTGAGAATTTTTTTCAGCTCCATCACTTTATGGAATCTTCCCATATGCTGGTTTGAAGTTTTACTTCTACGAGGAGATGAAACGCCACGTCCCTGATGAGCAGAAGAAAAATATAATGGTGAATCTAGTATGTGGATCTGTAGCTGGTCTGTTGGGCCAAACTTTCACATATCCTCTTGATGTTGTGAGGAGGCAAATGCAGGTATTTTACTCCTTGGATCCAAATCTATCAATTCAAAAGTGATCAAACCAGGAATTTTAATGTAATGAACGAGAATTGTCTTGTTAGGTCCAAAGGCTCTTGGCATCCAACAGTCCTGAGTTGAAAGGAACAATGGAAACACTTATTATGATTGCTAAAAATCAAGGCTGGAAGCAGTTATTTTCGGGGCTGAGCATCAACTACCTGAAGGTAGGAAAAGGCCCTTCCCGTTTGCATGCTTTTTATCAATCATTTCTCGATAAATTAATCTTTGTGTGTCTATTCCAGGTTGTACCATCTGTTGCAATTGGTTTTACAGTTTATGACATCATGAAATCTAGCCTGAGAGTTCCATCCCATGATGAAGCTGTGATAGAAGTGGTAACAAATAAAAGAAATACCCAAACATCATCTCTTCACCCATAGTAATAAGTAATATTCATCTCATCGATTCTTATACTGGTCATCAAGGGGCTTTGCTTCACCTTTAAAATTCTTATCTTATAACTGACCAAGTCAGGCCATCTAACTTGTACATTCCATTCTTTTAAGCTTTATTATAGGACTTCTATAGGTTTTATTTCCTCACCAAATAAATTTTGTACAAGATCAAGCTTACATAGTTTTCAAGGGATGATCCTGTAGCAAACTGTATTGATTGGACTTGTAACAGTTTCTCCATCAAGGATGATATTGATGAGTCTTCCAAGTTTAGATTCATTAGCAATGTACATATTTAGGGGTATTAATTCAATAAAGAAATTTGACTGCTGCAATGTATCGTCTGTTGAGAAATTAATATCAGCTTTCTCTTAATTTTTCAGTTTCATTGAAGCAGAATTCACATATGAATGTGCAACATGCATTCATTTATCACTAGCTATAATAATACTGATGTATTTTTTATTGAAAAGGCTATTACACTCAAATTCAAGATTCCATAGGTAATAGGTTGATTGCTTGCAAGCTCCAGGTGACCAAGTCACTATTGTGATTTCTGATAGTTGCTCAAAACAACTAAATAGAGTATAATCAGTTCTTACATCATGGTGAATGCTATGAGATATTGCTTTAGTGCAACAGAACCTAATGCTTCTTGGCAGCATTGTGTCTTTGAGTCAGCTTGCAGATACAAAATTCTCGAGGAGAGAGTTTACGTAGGTTCCTCTTGTATTCATGAAATTAGCACAGAATTTTCCTAAATTTTAAGTACATTAAGTATTCAGTAGCAAAAAAAGTTGTTTGATGTGAATAACCATTTCAATGATGACAACAGGTCACCGTAGAATTTAAATTTCAATACAAGCATGGTGTACAATACAGAAACTTTTCACAATGCTTATAGGTTTCATTCCGGTCAGCAACTACATTTTCCTTGATGACATGCAACATCAATGGCAGGGTTTTCTAAAGTTTTACCAGTAATCACCACAAGAGCATTTTCCATCCTTGAAATGATGGAACCGCTTGTTATCCCTCACTATCAGCTCTCTCCCAACAACCTCAGACATGATTTTGATTGCATTGTGGCAGTCTCCACAGATTCTCAGATTCTTAATGATCCTAAGAGGTGTCCTTGCCGGAGTACTAATAAGACCGTAAGCAATCGCCAAACGCTCACTATGGTATTGCAAAGCCTGCTCTTTTGCCTCCTGATCAATGTCATGAAGCACATACCTTGTATCAGGCACATAGCCTGCTTCCCTCATCTGTCCATTCAAACCTTTCAACTTGTTATTTGCTTCTCCCTTGAAAGGGTTCATACACCTATACTGACTCACTCTATTCTTCTCCTCAATCATGTTAACCATAGAAAGTTTTTTCCTCGGTGGCGCTCGGAGTTCATTCTCACTTCTTATAGAAGGATCAAGTCCACGCAACAACTCCTCAACACGATCCTCAAGGTCAACATCTCCATGAATTCGTGCAAAATCCCTAATTGCCTCCCAAATCTCCACCCTTGGCTCAATCGGCAAATTCTCAATAAACTCCACAGCCTCATTCAAATGCCCAGCTCTCCCAAAAACATCAATAACCCCTAAATAATGTTCAATCCTCGGAGCAATCTTGTATTCATTCTTCATCAACTCAAAGTACATTACTCCTTCCTCGACAGCTCCTACACTGGCACAAGCAGATAAAACCGTCAGAAAAGTCTCGTTATCCGGATGAAATTCACCTTTTCTCATTTCTTCAAATAACAACAATCCGTCATCTCCTTTTCCATTAACCGCATACCCATTTATCATTAACCTCCAAGAATCCATATTCCGCTCACGCATTTTATCAAACACCCTGCGAGCATCTCTTAGACTAGCGCATTTCCCATAAACATCAATCAATTTGTTGTTCAATTCGATATCACCAGAAAACTTTGATCTTCTCAAGAATTCATTAACTCTTTTGGATAATTCTTTCGAATTCATATTCCCACAAGCATCCAATAACGCCACGAAAACATTATAATCCGCTAAAACACCTTTACTCATATAATCTAAAGCTTCCTTAACCTTGCCTTCTTCGCATAACTTCGGCAAATCCACGTCAATACTTTGAAATGCAGGATTTTCAGGAGATGGATGGTTTTCCTTTCGAGTTTCAGTGTTGAATTTACGAGGGTTGGGCCGATTTTTGGTGGTCTGGCGGTGAGTCGTCACACCTTGGCGGCGATAAGTCCTGGTAGAGCTGTTGCTATTGGTGTTATTGGATGTGGCATAGGTGCATAGAAGGTTGAGTTTGTTGCCGTTGGTGTTATTGGATACGGCGTAGGTGCATAGAGGGTTGAGTTTGTTGGGGTTTTGAGAAAAACAGAGCTTGATTTTCTTGTTGCCAACGACGGAAGGCCTGGTAGATATTGAAGATTTTAAGTGGGAAGAGAAGCTAATGTAATTTCCCGTGTTTTGAAGGGACACCAGTGTCGCCATTGCTTTTTTTGCTTGCAGTGTCAAGCGAGGTGTTTACGAGTTTCTCTGGATTATAAATTTATCAAACATTATTCCACCTAAACGACAGTGTTTTTCTGAAGTTTATTCTCCTTTGGGTTTAGGGACATTGGCTTTGATCAAGACATATAAATTTATCAAACAGTATTCGACCTAAACGACAGCGTTTTCTCAAGTTTATTTTCTTTTTTCTTTAGGGACATTGGCTTTGATCAAGATATACGAGAGATGGGGGCTAAGTAGAAACATATTTGTGCGGTAATACTTGTTTTAGTCGTAATAATAAAATACAAATTTATCCAAAAAAAAAAATAGGTTTATTTTCCTTTGGGTGCTCTTCTTTTCAAATAATCAAGTTTATCGTTGCTATTAAATATAATCTGAATTAAGTAAAATGGGCAGTGATACTAAGGCCTGCCATGACAAGACATCTTCTCTGCTCAAAATATTTGAAAGTAAGATGCTATCCTGTTTCAGTGCTTCAGCTGGTTTAAAACCGCTGGCTGTTCTGGATCAGAATATCTAACCTTTCCATGCACCCTGGTTGGACAAAACAAATGGTAGCCAACTCAAAAACTACACCACTAGAGGAGCAAATTTAGAATATCAAACTCGTCAAAATTTGACTCGAGTTACTACCCTTAAAAAATAAATTCCATTCCATTCAAAGAATCTTGTTTTGTGCTGCCACACAATGGATTCAGAGTGTAATTCTTGATGGACAGAAACAAGTAGTAAAAAGATATAGCAAATTAGTACTTATGTTCGTTGTTTACATATCTATTACAGCATTACATGATCAAAATGGAAGTCAAGGCCAGCATACTCGAAGCTTAACATAAAAGAAAGAAGCAGAATACACCTTTTAATAGCTTTAAGTCTTCAACATCATAGTGGAAGCAACAGAACAGCTTTAAGTATATAGAGTAACTAAGAAAGTGAAGCTCGGTGATCAAATGATATAATCTGACCACTCAGTGATGAATGAAGTGTGATCCATGGACTCTCCAGGGCATTCCTCATGCCTCGAGGGTTTCTCCTTCCCTCCCACGAGCCTTGCAGGGTTCCCTACAGCTGTCGTCCGCGGAGGCACATCAATCAGAACCACTGACCCTGCTCCAATCTTTGCTCCCTCCCCAATTTTCACATTCCCTAATATGGTTGCACCAGCCCCGATCAGCACTCCATCTCCAATCTTCGGATGCCGATCCCCACTCGCTTTCCCAGTCCCACCAAGTGTAACATGATGCAAAATCGACACATTGTTGCCAACAACCGCGGTTTCACCAATCACCACACCAGTGGCATGATCAAACAAAATCCCCTTCCCAATCTTCGCCGCTGGATGTATATCAACAGCAAAAACGTCGGAGATTCGAGAGTGTAATGCCAATGCTAGCGGCCTACGTGATTGAGTCCACAAATTGTGTGCTACACGATGAGCCTATAATAACAAAATTCCAACTATTATTAAAAAAAATTTTCCATTTCCCCCAATTTTCTGCTCTATCGACAAAAATCAATGCTTTACACAAATTCCTTTAACAAATACTTTCACAAGATTCAATTAACAATAAGCATACCATTTCCATCAAAATGCTAAAGGCTATTCAATCTTAACCGTACGTGTCAATCAAGGAACTTTTTTTATCTAAGATCAAACATGTAATTTTAATGATAAATATAAAAAAAAAAACTCAAAATTGAAACCAAATAAGAACTAGAATTCCTTCATATCATACTAATTTACATAACTTTGTGAAATAAAATTCAATTAATCAGAGGAAATTAAGAAAAATTATTTACCTGGCAAGCTAAGAATCCTTTATAATTAAGTAGGCAATGAGAGAATGAAACGCAAGCAGGATCCCTAACACGAGCCGCACGCAGATCGGCGACGGCGGCGGCTCGAAGCGAAGGGTCCGAGGAGAAAGTATTCAGAAAGAGATCATATAGAAGCGTCGACAGCAGCGTGGAGGAACAGAGCTTGTTGCCGAGATGGAAGGAAAGCGAGCGTTCCAGAGAGGAGTGAGAGAGGATCGTTGAGTAGAGGTAGCTAGCTAGAGCAGGCTCCGACTCGGCGTCCCTGCGTGCCTCGGCTTTTATCTGTGCCCACAACCAAGCCTCGTCTTCCTCCACGGTTGTTTCCATCGCTTGAGATGGGAGCGTAGAAGGGACCGGAGAAGGGTAACGGAGTTCTCCGGCAGGCATTTTAGTGGTGGTAGCGTACGTTAGCGAAGTTTCTGATGATGTGGCGAAGAAAACAGCAACGCTTTAGGAAGTCATTTGCCTTTGGGTTCGCATTTTTGCATTTTTTCCGGCATTTGGTATAGGCGACACGTGGAAAGATTTGCTTCAGACGAGGAATAGTTTTTTTTGGTAGGACATTGAAAAAGTAGTTTCTAAATAAAATTTAATTAATCTTAATAAGTGTTTATAACTCTTTTAATTTCCCTTTTTTTTTTTTTGTCAATACTTAATTTCTCTTTGGGTCGTAAAAATTAAAAATGCCTTAAACTATTTTCTTTAAAAAAAAAAAAAAAAAACTACTACATATATGTTAAAATAAAATGAATTTTTATAGAAAAACAAGGATGAGAATCACACTCGACCACAAAGACTTTCTATGGAATAAAATAAATGTTCATGAGCTAAAACATAATTCAACAGCAGCCAAATGAATAGATTATTATATAGTACACAAAATACATAAAAAAACTCTTTGGTTCCTGCACTCTTCCCAAACACAGAAGCCATGGTGATTCTCCCACAAAATTCTCTGCCCAGGAGACAGATTTGCCTTAGTGTTGCCAACATCTTCCTTTTCCCTTAGCTCTCCTCTGGCAGAAAGAACCATTGCGGGTGGGTGCTCCACAAATGGATGTGCCACTACTTGAATGTGCGTCAAAAACATGGGATGTGCTCCTTGAATCTAATCCAGAGCGGAGGCTAGCAATCCTCATCCCTTTATGCTCCTCACACCTGACTCTTCCCCTAAAAGGTTGTTTTGTGCAGAAACATCCATCACCTAATTTCACACCGCATATAGTATCGTAGCCCTCATTGAAAACAGGCTTTTGTGGAGCAACTCCAGTTTCCACTTTTTCAGGTATAAAAACTTCAGAGGATTTCTTGTCAAAACCTGAAGCTTCATTAGCATATGAATCAAAAGCCACATATGGCACTGTCTGATATCTTGTTGCCTGGGAATTGGAGTAAAAAATTCTCCTCCCTTTATGCAAATCACACCTCTTTCTCTCTGAAACTGGCTGCCTTCTACAAAGAGATCCATCATCCATGACAACTCCACAAATAGGACTGCAGTGCTCAATTTCAGGATAGTCCACTGACAATGAAGGCACTGCGCCAAAGCTGGGAATCTTTGGGCCATGAACATTGCATTCTCCGTTATCAAAAACAACATATTCCGAGCATGCCTTATGCAGTTGGGATTTCTCCCTTGTACTCAACCTCACAGAGGACCCCTTAGTTTTCTGGCCCTTGTGTTCACCACACCTTTTTCTTCCTTCAACTGGTGGCTTTCTACAAATGGAACCATCCTCTAAAACCACTCCGCAAGTGATAGTATCATTCTCATTAGAGCCACCATGATCAGAAACTAACCTAGGCTGTGATCTGCTGAACTTGAAAACTTGCCACAAAAAGTTGTAGCTCTCTCCATCAGCGTATTTGCTGAATTCATTGTCCTGTGAAAGCAGCTTGCTTGATTTGATTTGGATACCTACTTGCTTTTGAAGGAAGGATAGATTCTTTGTGGAGAAAATGGCTAGTGGGGAACGATTGGCTGCACGTTTATTAAGTTTCTGAAGGATATTATCATGGCGGCGTGCACCATTAGAACCTTTATTCCATGCATAATCAAAGGTATCAAGAAGCTGAGCTTCTGTTCTATGAGCGTCTGCCTTGTTTTCCATCTACTTAGCACATAGGGGAGAGGAAAAGAATATTAAAATTTTGAAAATTAGAAAGCAAAATTTGAATGCAGGCATTCTTCTGTCCATGAGTACAGGGAAGACCCTAAAAATTACAATCAATCAATAGAGCATCATTTACATGCTGTGTATGTGAGTGAACATATAATAAGAACATTGATGAATGGCTGCACTTTTCACTGTTATTTAGCTTTCAAACCATCTCATCCAGTTAAGAGTCGACAAGTAAACCCTTCAATGAGTACTAATAAGAATCCATTTCCATGACCATCTGTAATTCATGCAAGACTATGAGCTTATAGCAGTAATAAGAAGAACATATATACGCTAGTTCACAACCTGCAAAATTGACCTTAACAAGTTGTATAAATATACTTCCACTGTTCTTGGTACAAGTTTCTCCCACTTAATTCTTTCTATTTTCACCCTCCAAAGCACTAATATTCACACCATTTATTGCTTGCATACTGAAACACTCAATTATAGCCAGTAAAAGGCTATTCTAGCATGATTACATGACAGTCGAAGAACAAAAAAAGGGGATTGTTAACAATTCAAAGGAATTCAAACTAGAAGATTATTGAAATATCACTAGAACAAATATCTCATCCACTATGTCTAAACTTATCATTGTTTTACTACTAAAAGAAATACTCTAGAAAAGAACTGAGAACTTTTATTCCAATTTTTGTTATTCAAACTTCTCAAATAGTTTCCATTCAAGAGTCATAGGATACCAAGCAAGTTGAAGTTAGCAAAAACGGAGAAGAAATATACTCACAGGAGCCCATCTGTAAACAATCGAATAGCCTCTCGAAAAGATGTCTTCAAAGCATGCACATCCTTTTTCTCCAGAGCCACTTCTACCCAAATGAGCACCTGTACGACCATATTGTTGGAGTCTTGTCCTGACATTGTCAGCTTCACCAAGATAAACTACCAAAACCTTGTCTGGGTCAAGCTTGCCAGGATTGTCCCTGCTTGAGGAGCCAGATCGGTATATAGCAAGCTCATAGAGTCCTGAGCTTGAACTTCCGGGAAGATTTTCAACCCTGTATCTGGCCACTCCTTCTTTCCCAACTGAGTAGTCTTCCCAATCATCAGGCCCGATAAGAACCTAAACACATGATTACATGAAAATACAAAAGACCCAGAAAGGATGAAGGATTATAAATCGGATATAGATATTGTTTAGCAACAATTAACTGAAAAAAGGAAGGGAATCTATTGATGTAATCCTGTAAAAATTCAGTAGTTCATGCATGATTAAATGCTTATAAAGAGGGAGAAGAGATTTTGGAGTTTAAATGGAACCTTCCATTTGGAGAAGTGGGAGTCATGCTTGGTCCGCTTGTGATCTTCACGTTTCAATCTGGTGACTACAGCGGCCGATTTAGCCGCTCCCATTGGCATTGGATCTCCTCCTGGAAAATGACCGTTGTCTTGTTTGCGCCACTGTATAACAGGCATCTTCCTTGTAAAAAGACCAAATTGCCATTTCCTTTTATGGAAGTTTCTAAAATTTTTGAATCCCTACTTTTCCCTTATCCAAAATTCTCCCATGGACTCCAATTCCAATCCAATTAAGAATTGGTTTAAGAGTTAAGAATTTAAGCCCAATCCTGTTAAAGATGATTTGCTTATCAAACTAAAATTGTTAGTTTTTTTAACAAAACAAAACCCTAAATCCTAAAGCTTAGGTACATATATCGTTAATAAAATTTTTAATTATATAAATGAGATTCAAGAATTATTATTTTTTAATTAATTTTTTATTATGTATATCTGAAATTTAAAAACTCCACTACCAATCATATGATTTTTTTGGTGTTACAAACTAACGCCAATAATATTATCATTAAGAAAGAATTCCGTTAGTGTTCCTAATAATCCTTCTTTTAATGTCATAATAATAGTAATATTTGTTTTTGGTAAATTTAATTTATATGATGGTCTATCTTACTTTTCCTTTTATATCTTTATTAACAGCTATGGGTACCATTGTCTCTGGCTATGTTGGGCTCCAAATTGGAGAGAGTAAGTGCCATCAATTCCTCACTTTCTTATTTAGTTTTCCTGTTTACATTATTCTTGAATACATAGAAACATCATTCTTGATTTCTTTATACAAGATTTGTTTTCTCATATTCAAATACTGTAAAATAGAAAAGGCATCTTCGTCATTGTTTTTTTTTTTTTTTTTTATGTTGCAGATAAGAAGTTAACAAGCTTATGTTTGTATGTGATTGTGAAATTCAGTTGTCTTTATATGCTGCATTCATTTCCAAGGCTGAATCTTTCAGCACCTCCCCTGGGAAAGCTGAAAGAGTTAGTGACCTCAAAAGTTTTCATCTTTGTTAGCTACCTCTTGTCCTCTTCCTTGCCATAGGTATCATCAAAGGCTACTTTCTCTGCTAGCAGATCAAAGAGATCATTGAGTAAATTCTCATACTTTTGTGAAAAAATGAAATACTTGGATGGTTTTGTTGGAAATATCTCAATTCTTGAAGTGGACAATCATCAACCAAGTGTATTATGTCATTGTATTTATCTTTAAAATTTAAAACTCTTTTCATTTTTTTCTGTTTGGAGAGGAATGGATTTGGAGCTAAGCTCTGCATGAGTAACATTAGGGAATATTTTAAAGTTTCTTTGGTTTGTATCTTTTGTGAAGGTAGTCAGCCATTGCCGCTAGCTAGCTAACTTTAGGTCCCACTTTCATAAAGAATGACATAGGAGGTGTTTGCATATCTAAGTCTAACCTACCTTTTAATTTTTTTTTTTGGTTCTTCATTTTTATAGTAGGATATAGACAATAAGGTCTTTTTTTTTTTACAGTTTTACATGTGGAATAACAGTCATTAAGATAAATTGTCTTCATCGCAAGTAGACTATCTGCAGTAAAGAGTCATGTGATTTCCTATTTTCTGTTTCGAATTTGGCTGTGTTGCATTGTTTCTTCAATGTGCAAATTTCTAGTTGACTGATGGATATCTTCACTTTCCACAGAATTCAAATCAGCTCAAGGAGCGGAAGCCAGCTATAAGCTGAAGTTTTGTTGGCTAGAAATTGACATTTCCATTGAAAAAAATGAGCATTTGTATTCAAATGACAGCAAGCTCATAATTGATGTTACCCATTCCATGCCATGCCCTACCATAAACTCTTTGTCTTCATTTGTCAGTGTGTAGGGCAGGGCTCATATATCATGTCCTACCACACTACCAATCCGCCATCTTGTGCCATATCAGAGCAACACAAAAACAAAAGCAATTTAATTGATGTTCCTGCACAAATTTAAGTGCCACATTTACAAAAGCATTAGTTTTTCTGTTCCATCTGTTTATATTTAAGGTCAACTCTGTTGTTACCTCATCAGCTGGATCTAGCCCCAGACACAAAAAATAGTTGATTACTATCTCCAAGGAGACAAAGCCTTAAAAACCCAGATTAAAAAAATAATGAGAACTTCAATGGGCAAGAAATAGGCAGTTTTGTTGCATCCCAGACAGATTGTTAATCCCAAAATGGTGATAAAAAAATTGGGAATTCCAATATGTAAATTTTTGTTGTTTTCAAAAGATTTTAGTATTAAATGTAGTCTTTACCAAAGTAAATGGCAGGTAAGGCACATGACCAAACGCCACTACCAGATTCAAAACTGTAAGAATCAAACTTCCTTCTATTACCTACTCTCAATTTTCAGTCTAAAAGAAAAGAATCAAATTACATTTCATTGCTTGGTAAAGTCCACATTTGAGGGCTCCATGCAAAGTTTCTAATTTCGTTTAAAAGTTCGTAGGATAGATAGGTAAAGGGAAAGGGAAAGCTTTCTTCCAATCATGCAGCTAATAGTTTACATAATTACATGGGTTCGGTATTAAACAGTCGTCGTTTCCTGACATTACCCGTTTCTTTTTGTCGTTTGTTATTTGTATAATACTAATGTATTGCCAATTACCCTTTCTTGTAATTTTGTTGAAAGCAAAGGTTTTAAAATTAGGCCACCCGCTTTGTTTCACAAGAATCATTTTTTCTAAAGAAAGCTCACGCACGTTACATGAACTAAAAGAAAAGGCAGCCTCAGTTTCTGTGAAAGAAACTTGTGCTTGTTCTTGCAAGAACGGACACATGTTTCTTTATTGCATCCAAAGCTGTCTATTGAGAGAGAGAAGAAAGAGAGGGTCTTGGTAACTAGAGCTTATACACGTCCCTTTTATGAGAAAGAGCTTACTTGATTTGAAAAAATTACCTTGAAGTGCACATCCCCATCTGCTACTCTTTTTTCAATTTAAACTTTTCTTCAGAGCACCTCTAAGAAGAAAAAAAAAGGCATCTTGGTTATTGTGAATCAGCAAAAATGCAATCTTTTCTGATCAAGGGTTGTGTTTTAATTGAGAAATAGGATGGGTTTTGAATATGGGTTGCGTGGAAGGTGTTCATGAGTTTAGTTTCTAGCTGGCTTTGGAGATGAAACAAAAGGGTACCTCAGATTTGGTTGGAAAAGTAGTGGTGGTGGCTGTTAAAGCAGCAAGGGAGATCCCAAGGACTGCTCTGGTCTGGGCTTTGACTCATGTTGTCCAGCCTGGGGATTGCATTAAGCTGCTTGTGGTTATTCCTGCCCACTCCTCGAGTAACTTAATTTTCCTTATATACACATCTTCTTTCACTTTTACTTCTTTTCTCCTTACTTTTTGTATGATGATGGAATTCATTGAGCAGATTTGGGGGATTAGAGGAGTCACGTAGTAGAATTATGCGTGCAGAAGCTAAGCTTGCATTGATTTCTCCTCCATACATTAGAGAAAAATTTTGTTCTACATCACTTTCTTATGTTTAAGGAAAGAATTATTGCTAGATGATCTATGGCTTAAAATATAAAATTCAGTACGTAGAGATTTTGACAGGTTGGCTGGTTGGATCTTGAAACCTTAGAGTCTTACAAGTGGCAGATGCAATCATTACAACAAAATATGTTGCCTATCAGTTCCCAAATCTTATTAGGACGAAAAGTTTTGGGGAACTTATTGATGTCCTTGTACTTTATCTATGTAAATGCTGCAGTGGAAAATGAAATTGAGCCTTTAGACACCAGTAAACTATTGAATTCTTTATGTTTCTGAATTTGGTGATGCTTTTTTACTTCATTTAGTTTGAGTAAATAGTAGAGAGCTTTTGGTGAATTTTCATAATGCTCCTTTATTCCTTTGTTGAACTTGGCTGCTTGTTGGCTCATAACTGTTAATCTTAGCCTCTTCATTCTGTGTTTGATACAGTTGCTTCACAGATTAAAAAAGGCCACTTAGCATGCATGAGTCAAAAGAAAGAACGTTATCGAAATTAATTGGCATAGAATCAGGTTGAAAATGTTTGAAGCCATTAGGCTAAGATTGTATTCACTGTACTTTCTTATCAGCTTAACATGCAATTATCAGGTTCAGTTATATATAATTGCCACAGCTGAGAATTTGGTTTGAGCATTCTGCTGCTTTATTCTTTCTTTTGGTCTCTGCTTTGTTATATCCTCTATTCACTTCATAATATTTGCTGTTTATAACCCATTAGGATCCAAATTCATTCTCAGGTAAAAAGATATGGGGGATTTCGAGATTTACCAGTGATTGCACTACTGGTCATTGGAAGTCTCTCTCGGGAACTAGTTCAGATAAAAAACAAGATATTGCAGATTCATGCTCCCAAATGATTTTTCAGTTACAAGATGTTTATGACCCAGAGAAGGTTAGTGGATTAATTTATTTTCAGATGTTTCTTTAGTTCTTAAATTCTTTGTTCCTAGTATTCAGTTTTTAAGTTCCTGGTTGCAGCTAAAGGTCAGGATAAAAATTGTTCCTGGATCACCGTATGGGATAGTTGCTGCTGAGGCTAAGAAAGCTCAATCCAACTGGGTTATATTGGATAAGTAATATATACAATGTAAACTTTGTTCTCTTGCATGATGTATCCCATTTTGTTTTTTAGCTTAAGGCATGCTTTTAGCTATGTGCAATTATGCAAATTACACAAGGTCCTAGTTTACTCTTTTGTTTAGTAGATAATGTTTTCATGTTCTGAAACTTCCTATTTTTACCTCAGTTTCCTTTCAATTCTTCTATTTGTTCAATTAATTATTGTTATTATTGTTTTTGGATCCTTGAACAGATGCTTAAAACATGAGAAGAAGCATTGCCTGGAAGAGCTGCAATGCAATCTTGTGGTCATGAAGCGATCTCAGCCAAAGGTTCTTCGATTGAATTTGGTTGGATCACCAAACATGGCACCTGAAGTGCCTTGGCCATTAACTTTTCAATCAGAAACATCTCCTAAACATAAGAAAAGCTGGCATGAGCAGTTAGATGAAACTAAAGGGCCATTTGTGACTCCCGTCAGTAGTCCAGAGCGTGAATCATCCCTGACTGCTACTGATGTTAGAACTTCATCAATATCAAGCTCAGATCCAGGGTCCTCACCATTTTTCCTCCCTGGGTTATATGAGAGCTTGAAGAAAGA